TGGGGAGTGAACCAGTGGACGGAAGATCTCTCTCTCTTCCTCTCACTATCTGTAACTCTACCTCTCAAATAAATAAATAAAATCTTAAAAAAAAAAAAAAGCTGGAGAGATTTATTCCTGAAGTTTCTAGAACTTGCAATAAAGTAAGGGCAGTCAGGATTAGTTCTTTTGATTCACAAATGTTCCAGTGTTACCCCAAATTCCTCAGGTCCAAACTCCAAGAGGGCCTCCTCTGGTGGTCCAAAGCTACTAGGTAGGGCTCACATTCTTAGAATAGCTCCTGAAAAGGCCTTGGTTTTTCAAACCTTGGTCCTGCCTCTGAATACCTTTTAAAGGCTAAAGATGCCTGGATTCCATCTCAGCTCCCTGGAATTAGAATTTCCGGGAGGGCTATCTTACTCTTAAAAGGTGATTTCATTATTATAGTTTTCATTTATAAATTACACAAACACATCTTATCTACCACGTTATTCTGCACATGTTTTTGTGTGTTTGCACAGCTATACCTTCTCTATAAATTAACCATTCTGCATCAAGCTATCGAATCCTGCTGATCCTTTAAAACCCTCTTCAAACACCTTTCACTCAGAGCCTTGCCTGACTTCTCAGGTGGGTTTAGATGACTTTCAGTGGAGCGAATTCACTAATTACAAACGTGGACTCTGGAGGCAGACTCCCTTTGTTTGAATTCCAGTTCCATAACTTCTGGTTGAATGACTTCGGGTAAGCAGGAATGAAAGTGTTGAAAACCTTCTTCAAACGCGTCAGATAGGTTCCTGGGGGCTCTTTGGCTCCTTTTCTTTATTGTCCTGCACTCTGCACTGGGGCCTCATCCCACCTTTGGGGCCTGCATTCCTCTTCCCTGTGCGTTTCTCCTCACATCTTAGTGAACTGTATACTACTTAAGAGCTGAAAGATCTACTTAGTCTGCCTGCTAAGTGCACAGAGCTTGGTACCTGGCTGGGTGTATAAGATAGTGGGGGATGGGGGGAAGAGACAGTGAGAGAGAGAGAGAGAGAGAAATGAACCCAGAGGAGACCTGCAAAGATGGAAGTTTTGTGGACATAGAGCTTTAATTAGAATACTGCATTTGTTTTGAAACTCCTCTATTTTTCAGAAACCGGAGAGACCCAGGGCAAGAGTAACCAAATGACTGAACGAAATGTATGCGGATTATGTAGCTAACAGTTTTAGAAGGCTCCACTTAACTCAGGATGAGGGAAATTGCTTTGCTTTAATGCTATGCATTTTTCATCTGTTTGTGTTTGAAGGGAAAACTCAAGCTGGATTCTCTTCAGGGCTTAGAACCCTGTGGGTGATCAGGGACTACATGCAATAAATGATTCAGTGTTTGCCTCTTGGGTGGCTGATTTCTGGCTAGCTAAGATATTGCCTTCTTCTTCAAGGGCTGGGCTATACTAAGAGGTTTGGGGGGTACAATAAAATTGATGAACATATCAAAGGTAGTCACTATTTAATATCAGGAAAGATGCCCCCATGGAGGGGGGAGGTATTAGAATATGAATAACTTTAGAAGAAAATAATTCTTGGAAGAAAATCATTTCCAACCTGCAAATAGATTTTTACACAGGAGTATAAGATTACACAGGATATAAGATTATATTGTTGGGCATGGAGTTGCGGTGGCTGGAACAACCTCTCTGATGATTTGAGCAGCAGCTGGAGCTCCTGGAAATTTGCAGTGGCTTCAGCCTGTCATTGCTGGTTCGCTGTTGCCCTCTGCTGGTGAAACTGTTGTCATCCAAGGAAATTACAGACGCCCAGGTGCCTGCTTACCTGGGGCGATCTGGGCTTGTCCCTCAAGTAAGGAAGCACAGCACAGCACAGCACAAACGCAGAGGAGACATGTGGGGGATGCTCCGCAGGAGGAGCCCGACCCTCTCAACCAAGAGCATTGCTATTGTGGTCTCTTCTTTATTCTGTGCCCTGCCCGTTGGAGATCCAGATAGGAGTAAGGCACTGTCTGCACCAGAGGGGCTCCTACTTTGGGTGGGGGAGGATGTGGAGGAACAAGTACACAAATCGCTATCTTATATAGAACAATGGGAATAGGGCCACTTCTGAGGTCTTTAAAGGAAGGAGACATGACATCCCCTTGGAAGGAAAGGTGAGGCTCTGTGGAATACACAATGGTTAACCTGGGAACTTGAAGGATGAGTGAGAGTTTTCATTTAAAAATACTTCTTATCATAAAAGTAGAATGCGCTCATTATAAAATAAACTCTGGCAAATAAAGTCATGGAAAGACACAAAAGACCCTTGAAATCTTAACACTCAGAAATCAGTGTTGACATTTTGATGGGTGCATTCTGTTGTTACTAAGTTGGAAGCATACTATATGCAACATTGTGTATTCTGCTTCTTCTTACTGTTATATGACATGGGCATTTCCCTCAATGTTACTGATCATTATTTTTTGAAAACATGTCATTTTATAGGGAGCATTTCCAGGGGGTAAACCTGAGGGTTAGATTCCCCAAACAGCATGAGCCAAGGCATATAAAGTTGTACAGAGAAGAGATGGTTCATTCTTTATTAATTCAATTGAGAAATATTTTTTTGAATAGCAATGAACTTGGCAATACATGCCAAGACCTAATTCTTTGTAGAATTGACAATATAGGAGAGGTGATAGGCATGAAATCTCTATCTCTCAAATATATATGTGTATGCATATATATTCATAGAAATGGGTATGAAAATGAAGGAGACATTGTGGGATATGCAAAGTGAACACGAGAAAGAAGAGAAGTAGTTCCAGAGACCTGGGAAGGTGCTGGTGGAAGGGGAAATGCATCTCAGGTCTATAGGAATGAAGTAGTTGAGGGAGATCAGGAAGAACATCGCAGCAGGAGCAGCAGCATGTGCAAAGGCCCTCATGTGGCTGTAACATAGAAACTGAAAGAAGAGCAAGGGGGATGGGATGGGGAGATTTGTCCTGTGATGAGGTTGAAGAAGTAAGTAGGATCTGGACCTACAGAGCCTCTCAGTTCAGACTTTTTGCCATTTCTCATAACAGCTATGGGAAGTGTTTTAATTGGAGTGTGGAATGAAGATGATGTTTATGTCCTCAGAAGAAACTTCGCACTGCAGTAGGGTGAAGTTGGGAGGGAACAGGAGCAGGTGCGGGTGAACAAGGTGGAGGTGGCTGGTAGCCAAAGTCCGAGAGGGTAATTGCAATTGCCAAGGCAGAAGACAGGCGAAGACAGGGTTAGGATAGTAATGGTGGAAATAAAAGTTTCCCTGTCTTTAAACTGAAAGTGATGTTTAATTCAAAGCATTACTGTAAGGATTCATTGAGAGCATTGATATTCAAGGACTTTGTAAACTTCCAGGCACTGTACAAACATTCTATATTATTATTATTGCTATTTCTATGTTTCTTATTATTACCACCCAAACTTCAATGGTATTAACATCAGGAATATGCAATTCAATGTTTTCTCCAAGAGTTCTTTGGGAAAAAAATGGTGTGATTGAAATCTAAATAAATAAATATACCACCCAGGAGCTAGAGATGGTGGCCCCAAACTATTTATAGGCCTATGTTTACTTGAATTCAGACATTCCTGACTTGTAAATTATGCAGAGTCTGTGTCACAGCAGAGCACTTTGGGCTCCTAAAAAGAATTCTTTTTCCCGGAATCCTTTACCTTTTAAAATAAATCTCATTATGGAGTGCTGACATTTTCAGTAAAACCATTCAACCAAAAGCTGCAGTGTTTGTAGACTAAAAACAAGTCTGGTTTATTAGGCAGCAGCTTATAACTTACTGCTAAGTAGATGCAATCTATTTAGAGAACCTATATAGATATCTGATAAGACATGGCAGTCTCTGTGTTTTTCTGACTGAGACTGAATGCTGTGTGGATGGCTCAAGAACTCTTCCTCACAAGGCAATAGGAATTCAATCTCAATATGTACAGGGGTGGATGGAAACCACAGCAGCAGATTTAAACCACATCTCTTGGACCTTTTGCTGTTTCCTTCCACTCTCTGATTATCTCTGCTATTGCATTCCGGCAAATGACTTTGGGTGTAACCTTCTTCTAAGTGTTGTGGAGAGATATGGAGCTAATACTAGAAGACCATAAAGACTGGCATTTACCAGGGCCTCAATCAATGATCTCTTTCTTTTTTTCCTCCTCCTTTTTTACCTCTTATTTTCTTCTTCATCTTCTTTCTTCTTTTCATGTCTCCTTCTGTTCTTCCGAACATGCATTCAACTCCTACTCCTAACTCCCAACTTTGTCTTGTGTGTCAGTATTTAAAATATTCTGAGGAGTGGCTTTTTTTTTTTTTTTTTTTGAGTTACCCAAAGTCACTCAGTATCCTGAGTCCCTACCAGCAAGAGTATTGGCTAACTTACAGAGCCATGACTGAGACTCATTTCTCTTAACCCTCTCCCTAGAATCATAGAGGTAAGGACTAGTACTGTCTTCATTTTACAGATAAGAAACCTGATCCATGTGAAGGTTTAAAGTCCAGTCTTACAGTCACTAAGTGACAGAACTGAAAGTTTCCACCCCCATTTTATCTTCAGTAAAAACAATGTGAGCTTTGGAGATTAGCATAAACTAGTTTGTGGTGGTGCAGACTGAGTTAGAACAAAGAGATATATTAGGTGTCCTTGGAGGAACATATACTCTGAATGTTTCCTAGAGAACCAGAAAGAGGTGGAGACGTGTGAACCAGCTGACGACGGACGCAGACTTGGTATTACCCCACGGTATTCCATCATAGGAGCTCATGATGGCAAAACATTTCTCTGTCATCTTCCACCTCCCTTCTTCCTTAGTCATGGGCCAGTCTGAGGACAGAGAAGTAGAATTAGCTGTGTCTCTGCTCCTCTTTCTTTGGAGGTGATCAAACCTCATGATCTTCTGCACTAGCAGAGGTGTTTCAGTGAATGCCATTATCTTTAACTTGGAAAGCCTACATACATCCCTGATTTGCCTTCTCTCTGATGCTTCCTATAGGATAGACCACTGGAACAATGAGAAGGAAAGGTTGTTGCTGATCACGGACAGGACTCTCTTGATCTGCAAATATGACTTCATCATGCTCAGCTGTGTGCAGCTGCAGCGGATTCCCCTGAGTGCTGTCTATCGCATCTGCCTGGGCAAGTTTGCCTTCCCTGGGATGTCACTGGACAGGTGAGTATGATGCCTTAGACCCGGGGAAGTGATACAATAGGGTGGGACGTGCAGGGAGGATGATCACAAAACTTAGTTCAGTACTGTAAGCTAGGAAAACAGAGACTTTTGACAGTTGAATTCATGAAACTTCATTGAGTTCTTACTCTATGTCAGGCATCAGGGATGCAACTTTAAGTAAATTTGTACTTTCATGTGAGAACTTGATAAGTAAATAGCTAAATACAAAGATAGAAGAACCATGAAAACAGGAAAGAAATGGTCTCATCCTTATTCATGTGCCAGATAATCAGAAAATATTCTTTGTGAAGCCCTTGAGCCAATGTTTGATGTTAGGGAGGAGCTTCCCAAAGAAAGAGAACAAAATTGTAAAGACATTCCAGGCAGAAGGAACAGTACAACCAAGGGAATGAAAGGGGGGAAATTACTATGCCTTTGAGAATTGAATTACTGTGGAAAGCCCAGTGGATAGAACCCACGAGGGCTAAGAGGGCTTCTTACAAGAAGTCTCTTTGAGGTTGTCCCTGGAGACTTATTGGGAGGGGGTATAAACTGTCATTGAGATGTTCACATTGACCAAGAAACTTGGTGAAGACTGCAGAGGAGGACTACAGAACTGAACTAGTTCCTGTTATTACATTGGAAGGAACTGCTTTTCTTAAACACTTTTGATCTAAGCCAGAAAGACAAGAGTCTTCTAAGATTGCATGTGAACAACATTCATTGAAGTATGGGTTTCTTGAGAGCATGTGCTATTTTCCTTGTCCTTTAGGTACCTGACATCAGGCCTGGCATAAAGTGAGATATTTTTTTAAGACACAGGGGAAAAAATGCATACCCTGAGCAAATGATGTCTTTTCCTTATTCATAGCTTACCATATTAACAACCTACTTTTTATTTACTCTTTTCAAGGATGCAGGGAGTGATTAATTGACTTAGTTTATTAAATTTTAAAATTAGAAGATTTTCAATTAGACATGGATAGATAGAGATAAGGGAGCTTCAAAAATTTCATGGAAAATTTGTTTTATGAAAAACTATGAAATGGGTTTCAAGATTTTTGCATCTAAATAAACTTATCTTTTAAATCTATTTTTCCACAAGTTGTTTGAAGTACTCTTGGATGTTGGAAAAATATATTTAAACATTGCTAACAAAACATTTATTTTTAAGACCTCTCTTTTTTACCTACAACCTTACAGGTTGTACAATCCCTACAGGTGATAACAAATTCTTAAGTATTTTTTGAAAGAAATAATACATAAATATGAAAGAATAAAAATGTTTCTTATTGAAAAAAGTTTCTGACTATATATATTATATACTTATGCATGTAAGTATACATCTACTTATACACATTTAAAATTAAGTATCTTCCCACATATATTTGTTACATATTATTTAAACTAAGGGGAGTACATGTCACAAATTGCCCTGCCTAGTGCTACATTATCTAATGTTATAGCTTAGAGATTTTTTTAAATAACCAGGTAGAGATCACTACTAGTTTTTTTAGTACAGAATATTCTGTATTAAGTCTAATCTGTTTATCTAGTCTTTTATTGATGGATATTTACTTTTACCATTTTTTAGTAGGAAAATGCTGCACAAATGTGTGATACTAACTGTACTGTAGATTTCTAGAAGTGGCATTAAGAGTTTAAAGTCCATGAATATTAACAGATAGTGTCAAATTGTCTTCCTAACTGGTAGCATCAGTTGGTATTCCCAGGAAGTATGAAAGTAGCCTTTGATGTTTCTCTGTTTTTTTGACATCAGTTTCTATCATCTTTTTCTTACTAGAAAAATCACTTAGTTTTTATCAGATTGGTGAGTATTCATTAAATTGAGAATGCAAGAAAATTAACGATTAAAATGGCAATGAAAGATTATTTTGTATGTATACTTTTCTTTCTTGTGTGAAAATTCAGTTAGCAAGTAGTTGGTTGTTGAATTTCAAAATACTGCTTTTTGTTCATAACAGAATTTTTCTGTTCTCATTCATTAATTTGCATGTTTGTATGTATTATTTCCTATTGCTCTATTTGCATGTGTATTATGCATTTTGTGACTTTTTCACTTCATTTATTTTTTAAAGATTTATTTATGTATTTGAAAATTAGAGTTACACAGAGAGAGAAGGAGAGGTAGAGAGGGAGAGAGAGAGGTCTTCCATCCGCTGGCTCACTCCTCAATTAATCCAGGAGCCAGGAGCTTCCTCTGGGTCTTCCCATGTGGGTGCAGGGGCCCAAGATCTTGGGCCATCCTTCACTGCTTTCTCAGGCCATAGCAGAGAGCAGGATTGGAAGTGGGACAGCTAGGTCTCGAACTGGCGCCCATATGGGATGCCAGCACTACAGGCAGCAGCTTCACCTACCATGCCATAGTGCCAGCCCTGTAATTTTTTTAGTTTAATTTTTATGTACTTACAGTCATTTTTGTTAGGTATGTAAGCTTTATGTATTTAAATTTTCTCTAATGTTGCTTTTGCAGATACATAGAAGTGTTCTATTTTATTTCATATACCCAACTATTTTTGGTTCCTCTTTACCTGGAGAATGGATTGAAATAATTTTAATTGCCACATAGTCATTGTACATATTTATATAATAGAGTATGGTCTTTTCAATATATGTATATGACATGAAATGTTAAGATTAAGGGAATTGGCATGTCCATCACTTTAGACACTTACCAATTTTTGTGTTGGGACCATTGAAAATCCCATTAGCTATTTTGAAAAATGCAATTAATTGTTGTCAACCATGGATACCCTACTATGCAATAGAACATTAGAAGTAGTTTCCCTTATCCTACTACACCCTTGTTCATGTTAACTGTCCTCTCTCCATGCCCCACCCCTAATGTTCCCAGCCTCTGCTTACTACTATTCTAATCTCAACTTCTGTGAGACCAACTTTGTTTTGCTTCCACATATGAATATATCTCTTTCTGTGCCTGATTTATGTTACTTAACATATTCTCCTCTATGCTCAACCAAGTTACCACAATTGGCAGAATCCAAGTGGGATAAACAGAGAGAAAAGGCAAAATGCCTTGCTCTCCTCTCTGTGGTGTTAGCCACTGGACGTAGCCACTTTCTTTTTAGCCTTCAGGGTGCTTCATCAGTCACTCCAGTTGTAACATGGTTCTTTATTCTTTTTTGTCATCCATTTTAGTGAGAGTTAAGGGGGGAAATGGCAGGCAACTCTAATGGATAACCTTACAGACATCAGAACTTTTCTTTTGAATGTTGGGTTATTTTAATCCCCTTAATTTTTTTTATTAAGGTTGACTTTTATACATGGTTAGAAACAGAAAATGTTTTTTTAAATTATTTTTACTCTTTGGACTTTACTGAATATGTTTACATTAAAGTAACCATTTCTTTGGGCTTTTTTTTTAACATTTTTATTTATTTAATAAATATAAATTTACAAAGTACAACTTTTGGATTATAGTGGCTTTTCCCCCCATAACCTCCCTCCCACCCACAACCATCCCATCTCCCACTCCCTCTCCCATCCCACTCTTCATCAAGATTCATTTTCAATTATCTTTATATACAGATGATCAACTTAGTATATACTAAGTAAAGATTTCAACAGACAGTACCCACACAACCGCACAAGTTACAGAGTACTATTCAACTATTAGTTTTACCGTTAATTCTCATAGTACAACACATTAAGGACAGAGATTCTACGTGGGGAGCAGGTGCACAGTGATTCCAGTTGTTGATTTAACAATTGACACTCTTATTTATGACGTCAGTAATCACCCAAGGCTCTTGCCATGAGCTATCAAGGCTATGGAAGCCTCCTGATTTCACCAACTCTGATCTTGTTTAGTCAAGGCCATATCACAGTGGAGGTTCCTTCCTCCCTTCAGAGAAAGGTGCCTCCTTCTTTGATGTAAACATTTCTTTGACAACTTCATAGATGCTTCAATGTGTTGTCTTCACTTTCTGCAGAGTTTGATGTATGGCATTTAGATCACTATCATGATGTTATTTTTAATATCTTCTATATCTCTGCTTATTTACCTGGTATTAATTTTTTTACTTGATCTGTCGATAGGAACATTACATTTTGCTATGACTATGATAATTTTTACCTTGTGACTTACATCATGGATGTTTACATTGTCTTGTTTTATGTAGAAACATTTATAGATATTGAATATATTTTCCATTATAAAATTTATCTCCTTTAATTAAAATATATTTTTAAAATATAAATTTAATTAAAATATAAAAATTATCTCCTTTATTACCTTGCCTGCTTTGGGGGAGATACCCTGTCTGTAGGTTATTGCAACAAAAATGTTCATTTGTTTTGAATTTTCTTTGTATATATTTGTCAATTTAGTACTTTAAACTTCTCAAGTCTCTTCATTTTGCCTATGTGTACTTGCATATTTGAGAGGGATTCAAAAAGTTCACAGCATATATGTATTATGAAAAATCTATACATAGATTTCACTTTTTTGCACCAACATAAATGTATCTTAATTTCATTTTCCCATGAATGTTTTGCAGCCCCCTTCTTTAACTGAATTTTGCTTTCTGATCCAACCTTGGTGTCCTTTTTCTTTTAACAAATAAGATTAACCTATTTACCTACATGGATATAACAGATATGGTAGTTCTGCCAAATTGATTTTTGTAGTATTGTACTTTTAAAATATATTACCATATTGTCTATATTTGCTTCCCACTGAGTGTATGTCTTTTCTAACATGCATAAGAAGGTTTGGAGTCTGTTGCTCTGTGTACTGGTGATTGTCAGTGAAACAGCATAGTATTCTTAGTCCCATACATTTTAATACTATCTATGACTTCCTATTACAAATCTGTTTCCATGTAAAACCAAATTCATTCTTATTCTTTTCCTGTTTGTACATAATTCATTTTTCAAAAAAATTGATTATAGTGATCATTATTAGTTACTTTAATGGTTGTTTATTTAAATAACACATTACTACTTGAGGCTAAATC